TCAACCGACGGGAATTGCAGTTCGAAACAGCACGAGGTGCGGTGACTGATCGGTTCCTCCTCAACCTCGACACACGATTGGACGAACGAACAACCACCGCCGCGGAATTGGTGACTGACTTTACCAATGCTCTCCTCGAAGCAGCACGGACGACCCTAGGGGAGGAACCGCGGAGACGTCGCACGCAGGGGTGGTGTGAGACCCCAGAGACGAGAGCAGCGCTGGAGGAGGCCCTTACCACACGGCGGGAAGCGCGCCGGGCGATGAGGGGCAACTGGAACTCAGCAACGTGGAGAACTCTCAAAGCAGCGTGTAAGGGAGTGGCTACAGCAGTCGAAACGGGCATTTATGCCCACCTGGACGGATATGTGACTGAACTCGAAGCAATCTACAAAGATCGCGACATGAGAGGACTGTACCAACACCTCAAGAGATCAGTGGGCCTCAGCGGGAGACAAGCGGGGGGACAGCAGTTCGTCGCGGATGAGAACGGCGTGTTGCTCCGGAACAGGGACGACATCCTCCAACGGTGGGCGAGATTCTTCAGCACCCTACTCAACACCAAATCCCCCACCCTGAACCCAGACATCATCGAACGAGTGACGCAGCGGCCAGCGACACGTGACAGTCAACGGTTGGGAGAGGTGCCAGATCTCGAGGAGGTGGCACGGGCAGCGAAAGGCCTCAACAACTGGAAGGCACCCGGCCATGACTCCCTCCCTGCCGAATTGCTCAAGATCGATGACGACGAACCCGTTGTCCTGAGACACCTCCATACCATCCTCGTCAAGGTGTGGAACGGAGGAGATATCCCCCAAGAGTGGAAGGACGCAACCATCAAGGTGCTGTACAAGAAGGGTGACCGGTCCAACTGTAACAACTACAGGGGGATTTCGCTACTATCTCACGTAGGCAAGGTTCCCATCAAGATCATCACCAACCGTCTAAGCGCCTTCTGCGAAGCCAACAACATCCTCCCGGAGGAACAGTGCGGATTCCGACCCGGGCGATCCACCGTCGACATGCTGTTTGTCGTGCGTCGCCTCCAGGAGCTGGGGCGGAGAAAGAAAATACCGCTCTACATGTGCTTCGTCGACTTGAAGAAGGCGTATGATTCGGTGGACCGAGAGATGCTATGGAAGGTGCTGGCCAGGGCCGGGATTCCCGCGAAGCTAATCAAAGTCATCCGCCAATTCCACGATGGAATGCGGGCCCGGGTGCGCATGGACGACGGAGAACTATCGGACTGGTTCTTCGTCACACAGGGTGTGCGACAAGGATGTGTACTATCCCCACTGCTGTTCAACATCTTCTTCGCCGAGGTCCTCGAGGTCGTCGTTATCCGATTCAGCGAGGATGATGTTGTTCTGCGGAATCTGGTGTGCTTGGAGGAGGGGAAGACGGAAGCGGGGGGGGGGGAGGAGACACCCCTTGACCGAGTACGGAGGGCAGTATGGGGGATGCTGTATGCCGATGATGCCGGCGTCGTATCGAGGTCTGCAGAAGGACTGGCGAGAATGATGACCATCATCGTTGAGGTGTTCGGAGAGTTCGGGCTAACGGTGTCGGAGAAGAAGACGGAGACGCTCCTGATGCGCGCGAAGGACAAGCCGACTGCAACATCACAGTCCCCCCCGCCCCCTCCTCCACCACTGACTATCGAAGCCGCGGGACAGAAATACGCCCAGACGACCGAGTTCCGGTACCTCGGTGGCCTCGTCAACGAACATGGCGACCTCATCCGGGAGATCAGCTACAGGAGCAGAGGAGCGTGGGCGTGCCTCAGGCGATATGGCCAGGAGCTCTTCGACAGACCGAAAGCGCCATTCCGACTCAAGATCCGCCTCCTCCAGGCGGAGGCGATGGAGGCACTGCTGTACGGCTGCATGACATGGTCACCACTCAGCGGCCACTATCAGACGCTGCGGTCGACACACCACCGACTGCTCCTTCGAGTTATCGGGTACAAGCGCAAGAAAGACACCTACCGGCAGCTCTCGTACGCCGAGACGCTGAAGAGGGTCGAATGCCAGAGCGTTGAAGCCACGATCCGACAACGACGCCTACTGTTCGCGGGAGCACTGGCAAGGCAGCCGGACGGGCGACTCCCGAAACGACTGATGCTCGGCGAGCTGGCGGGGGGGGAGAAGCCACGTAGGGGGGGACAGGAACAGAACTGGCCGAAGTGTGTGCTCGACGACCTGAAGGCCTTCGGGGCCGACCACGGATCTACGAAAACCGACCCAAGTTGTCTCGGAATCCCCGTACCGAAAGACACGGCACCGAAGTCAAGGTGGACGGAAGCCGCGAAGGTGGAGGGGAGAGTACCCTGGCATGCGGCGGTGCTGCAGGGAGCTGAGAGGTTCATGACCTTCTGGCACGAGAAGGAAGAAGAGGCCAGCCGAAAACGAGCGCTCAAACGAAAGCACAAGCCAACAACCAATGGGGCGGGAGGGGGGCAGGAGACGGACGAGACGGCGAGGGAAGAAAGCAAACGAGAAGAGACGGACCGAGTGGCACGACACGTGCCGGATTGAATTTCTTTTCGCCAATTCCCCCCCCCCCAACGCTGCACCATTGCACCAACCCCCCAGTAGTAGTAGTGATTTCGTACCATTACAATGTATCGCTGGTTGGTGGCCATGTTTGCGTGTTTGCTTGTTCGTTAGTGGTCTCTCCACCGTGTGCCTTGTTCTGCCTCATACTTCCTGTTATTTTCGGCCTGGTCCCTCTTTGTCCTCTTTGTCCTCGCCCTTTTTTTCATTTTCATTTTATTTTCATTTATTTTCTCTTCTCCTTACGGTTTTCATTTTTATTTTTTCTCCTTTTTTTCTCTTTGTCCTTTTTTTTCTCTCTTTCTTTCTCTCTTTTTCTGTGCCAGATGGACTTGTCTCTGCTTGCGTTGTGAAGTACCAAGATTGAACCAAGGGAGTGTGCCTCTTTCTCTCCGGCCCATGATAGATAGCGACTGCTAATCTCGGTGGATACCCCGCATAGCGTGAAGAGGGAGCGGAGGATCCCAGAATATCTGTCGTTGATTTCTATTGACTTGCGGACCCCTCGGGGCCAGTTTATTTGAATGTACCTTTTTAGGGTAAGTTAACCTGTGACCACGGGAATCGACCGCGTCAAATGTTGGATCAGTACGGACATACGAAGGTACTGGGTAGAGAGAGATCGGAACGGTTTTTAATGCGAAGACAACAACAACAACAACAACCCTGTACATAGCTATACCCCCGTGTACCCTTTTTTGTCTCTCGCCGCTCTTTCACGAAATTTCCGGTACGCTTCCACAAACCACGGATTCACGGCTATACCGAATCCTTCGTTTCCGGCCTCTGTGTGGTACGAAATGTGGTATGCATACGTGCCACACGTGCGGTCTGGCAGTCTCCCCTCCCTCCTCTCTCCGGTCTCGCTCAACACGTTAGTTATCCCGCCATGTATGATCTACGAAAGAGCTGCGAAAGGTGCAGCTTGCTAAATAAAAAGGAAGTGCGACGGTGCAACTCCGTGCAGGTATGCATACGGTGGTGCTTGTAGTCAGCTACATATGGACAACATCGCGACTGCTGCTGTGGATGGAAATCTCCAGAGTCATGCGTGCTTTTCGACGCTGCTCTGTGTGTAGACTATTTACATACAGTACAAGGTAACCATACGTGCATGGAAAGATATCGCCTCTCTCTCTCACACAGACACACACTCTCTCTCTCTCTCTCTCTCTCTCTGTCTCTCTCTCTATCTCGTTCTCTCTCTCTCTCTCTCTCTCTCTCTCTCTCTCTCTCTCTCTCTCTCTCTCTCTCTCTCTCTCTCTCTCTCTCTCTCTCGCTCTCTGCGGATGACAAGGCAAAACATACCGATACGTACGTATTGTGCCCACGACTGATGATTGATGATTGATGATGGGTCCAAGGGAGGCCGACAAGAGCATATGGCATACCAGCCGCGTCATGGCATAAGCTTGGGCGTTCCCTCTACCGGCGTCTCTACACTCTTTGTTTGCGTATAATCATGTGACTATGTGTGTAGCCTTTGCCTATGTCTGACGTGCAAAAAACAAGCAGCAGCAACAGGCACACACAGTATACTCTGCACAAAATAGAGTCCACGAGCGATAGCGGGCCCACCTACAGCGAGCAGAAAATAGAATGGCGCTATGACTCTGAAGAAGATGTAGCACGACAGGTAGGTGCGTCCGTGGTTCCCGAGACGAATCGAAGGAGAGCCTACGGGGTTCTATGTCCTTCGAAGTACCAGTAGGTATTTATGGGCGTGTCGAAGGTGCTGAATCTCGCAACCTAGCCAGCACGAACGCCTACTGCTGCTGTCTCACGATTAGCAAAGGCAGAATTTTGTGAAGAAATGAGCTCAAATGATGTTACGAAAAATAAGAAAAAAGGGCTACCAAACACAGCTCAATCTCGGCCACACCTGAACAAACGTCCCAAAAAGAAACATGATCGTGCGATACCCCCAAGACATCGGAAACAAGGGTAGGCGTGTGTCGAATAAGAAACGTCCCACTGATTCTGCTGGAATGCTCCCACCCCATACCTAGCTCATGTAATATTTTGGTAGGGGGGAGAGAGTGGTTATCTTCGCGGCGCGCCCGGCGCCCCCGCGCCCCCCGCGCCCCAGCACCGCCCGCGGGTTGCTCTACCCACTGCTGCTGTTGTGCTATATATACTTCCACAACCCCCAATGTTCGCCACACCGAGCGGTCGGTTAATACTGTGTGGAGGCTTGGTGTGTCGTTGTTTTCCTCGCCAGAAATGAGAAAATAATGAGGCAAGAGAGTTAGCAGGATGCGAAAGCCTCAAGGAAAATTAAATCCGTTTTAAGAAATAGGCCGACTTCGGCTGGTCCTTCTGACCAAAATAAGATATTGAGGCTCAACCCGAACTTGGCGTTTTTTATCTTCGGGCTTGCTCTGTACAACGGCCTCGCGGGTGGGAAGGAATGGAATAGCGATTTCGAAAGTGCGAACAAGACACATGCTTACGCCTGAAGACACACCGAGGTAGGACACGCAATATCGTCGTACACCTCAATCCGCAGGTAGAGCGTAGCAATTAGTCTGGAGTTCTCGCCAGACCGGACCCAACCACATGACATGTTAGTCTACCGTTAACCTAGGCGGCCGACAACATAGCCCACAACCAAGCCGTACGGGCCAGACACAAGCAACAGCAGCAATTCTGCCGGCAAGAATGGCGGTCGAATGGTCGCCGCAGCACGTGCTGATTAGACTTTTATCGGGGGACCCCGCAGACAAGTGTTGTGTTCCGAAAATCATCCGTTCATTTAGTGGCTCCAGAGATAGATATCGGTTCAGCCGCCCGCAACTAGTAGATACGAAAATCCCACACACTGATGACGAGTCAGCCATCTTCCGACGACAGGTGTTCTACGCGAGCAGGGTTCGGAAACGGTTTATACTTAGTTTTCTATCCGTTTCCGACGTCGTCCAAAGTCATGGGTTAACGATCGACCAAATCAAAGCAATTGGTTCGGTATTGACGCATGGACATGAACGAGAGAGGGAGAGTTCGAAGGGGTGTCGCCGAACGCAGGGAAAAATCGTGCTGGCTAAAAGGAGGCTCATTGTGGTTCGAGGGAGAATTTTGTTTCAACAGCAACATACATGAGGAAAGGAAGAAGAGAGACGGTTGGAAAAAAGAACGAAGAAGGAAGAGATTATATGGAAGAGAGTCACAATTTTGACCCAGCTGGTCTTCTCCACACCAGCCCCGGAGAAATAGAAACTGGGCGAAAGTAGTGGTAGAAGTGTGAGGGAATAGAGTGGTTAACGCAAGGGACATGAAAAATCAGCAATGACATTCGGCGGGAGCCAATCCAGCACTTTCTGGATTTGCTCTACTACCGTTCCTGTCTTCAGTCCGGACAATAGCGTATACTCTCCAATGAGGCCCCCTCACGGGGTCCCATGCGGCCCTTAGCAGCGGTTTCTCCTTTCACCCTCACTGAGACTGACGTGTTTTCATTGGTCAGCCGGTTAGGGCGGTCGATGCTAACAAGAAAGACGCAAAATCGCACACCAACAGACGTTTCCGTCGTTCAACATGGCACCGAAACTACTGTCTAACGCCCCAAACAATGCCCTCCTTGTTCAGGCGTTGCGTGAGGAAAGGTGTGGAAGGTGGATGCGCCTATACCAAGCGGAGAGTACGCACCTGTGCGCCCTACGGCAAACGGACCTCGTCTGTGCAGGCAGCAGGAGCAGCGAAGCTGGGCGCCAGACATGACGGATCCGAACACGTTGTAATGAAGAGGTGACGTTGTTGGTGCTCAATATTCTTGGAGCAATCGTTTCCCTTTCTCATAGAAGCAAAGGGATTCGATCGAATGTACAGTCTTGTTGGTGGTCATGAAAAAAGACGAAATCCCCTTTCCACGCTGCAACAAGCATGTTGGTTAGGATCACAACCGCCGGCACATTCAAGAGTGCGGACCTATGAAGCTGTTGGTCCTCTGGACAAACCTGCTAGCCCGCACGCGGGTGGTGGGCAGCACCTGGCATGGTTGAAAAGATGGTGTTTATCAAGAGACCATTGGCTCCAATGATTCGCATTTTGCTGCATGTAGACTGACGCACCTCGACTGGGAACTGCGTTAGCATGCTTGTTGTCAACCCGGCGAGACATAATGGAATACGGAAATATGCTGGGCCAATACATAAAGATCAAACCCGACCGTATTGTTGGGCCTGCGGTTTCAGGAGAACAACTTTGTGAATCAGAAGTTCTTTCGGCGTGTGACGCCTGCAGGCGCGCAGGCGGTGGCCTCCAACGGCTATGCCTTGGTCCGGATAAGCAACATGTTGATCAGGCGCATTTTCGATTTTGGGCGATTATTGATCAAGTCCGTCAACGACAGGTTTCAGTGCTGAATGAAATCTGGGGCGGTTGTGTAAATCAAAACGAAACGACGCCTTCGTGCTTCAAATCCATTTTCAGTCCTGTGCTCTCCTGCTGTTGACTGCTGTGGTGTTTCTCAATTTTCACGGCGTAGCAGGAGAGTGCGATTCCTGTGTCCCTCAAATGTGGGTATTTATCGTTGGTACTTTGCGTGTACCAGTAGCAACACCTGCGCGTGCGCCTGTGTGCCTGTGTGCCCAAAATGGCTAAGAAAATGGACGGAGCCGGTTCGATTCGTCATCATTATACGGGGGGTAAGAAAGTACCCATGCCCACCCGGGACAACGTTGCTCCGACGGGAGGCAATCCACTTGCGCGAATTTTCTTTGCTATGAACAACACAGCACAAGGGAAGAACAATCTTCCGGAAGGGGTGTGGGTGAACTATGGGAGCGCGGCCGGCGTCCGTTGAGTGTCCACAAATATTTCGGGCGGTTTCTCGCATTGGGCGGTCATGAATGTAGAACTTCGAGTTGTTCCAAATGGTTTGGCACACAGACAGCTTGTTCAAGCCAATCGGACAACGATTCTCATTCTTGACTCAAGGATTGGTCCCTTACCAATGATGGGAGTCAGAGCCCTGAACGCATACATAAAGGAGAAGCTTCATCCCAAATGACTCTCTGCTCCGGCCCAAAGAGAGCCTCCTCACAGAGCTCGAATCATCCTGTCGTTGTCTCTTGGGACCAGGTACAGGTTCAGCGCCTCTCCGGCGACCGGCCTGGTGGGCATGCAGGAGAACGTGCTTCTGGGCACTTCTTCGACTCGGTTGGTTTTCATCCGCTCACAACCCGAAGGTGTTCGACGGACTGCTTCTGCCGTATATTGAGCGATGCCCACTCCACCCATTTTTCTAGTGTACCGCTATGCTGTACTTCATGTGATCAGTTTTGGTGTTTAGGTGCGAACGGCTTGTGTGGTTTGATTCGGTACTGCACGTGGGCCAAAGGTTGTGCTGTGAATGTGTACACGACACATAGACCAACTGGACGGCCCGCCCATAAGAAAAACTCCCGGGGCATTGTTATCGGAACACGCAAATTGGTAGACGCCCGGCGGCATGGACGTCATGCAAGCAAACCTCACGAGGTGTGTGATCAACGGGGCGGAGGGTGTAATACCCGTTTTTCCCGACACTTGTCGTGTAATCACCCCAGAGGGCGATTCCCTTCATCCCGAACAGAGAGGAGGGGCCTTCCGAGCCACCACCCAAGGCTCAGTATCCGTCACGATATGTCGCCCCTGGGATAACATGGCGCGTATCCCCCTCTCTACCGCCCGCGGTGGAATGTGAATGTGCTGCGGTGGTTCATGCGCTCATTTCTCGCGGCATCCCTCGGTGTGTGTCTCCTCCATCATGCAACACGATCATCGTACTTGATGGCAGGGATGTGCGCGACGTGATGGTGACACTCATGATGTCGCCTTCCCTACAGCAGTCACCCTTTACGCGAGACTACGGCATAGCAGAGGTGGTCGAAACGATCGTATCGGAAGACAAAGTTGGCAATACCTGGGAAGGAGGCGACCGCCCCTCAACTTGCACGTTTTGGTGTGCCGTTGCTATCGGGGCACTCGCGGAGGGCCATCCTATCGAATCTGTAAGTGACGGCAACCTGCTGATAGCAGTTTTGAAATGTCTGAATCATTTGGGTTGGTTGTGTAGGTGTAGCCCGCAACTTCGAGTCCAGAACCCTCCACAGCCGAAGAATGGGGATACATTTTTTTCTGGCTTACTCTGAAAGCATCCGCGGTCGCCTGAATAGCTGCTCCACAAGGGAGCGGGTCCGAGGTTACGCAGTGTTTGCTTCCCCACAGCGCTGATAAGTTTATGTCCAGGGCGCACCTCGCCATTCGGCTCCGCTTCACCACGGAGTGAAGTGAAGAGCGGACCGTTCGGAAACTCCCAACACTCGAAATCTCGGACCCTCGCGGATAACCTACTGTGACACCGCTATGTTTTAGTGGCAACGCGGAGCTAAAATGCTCTGATGGTAAATTCGTGATTCCACACAAAAAATACAAATTCCCCTGACATCCTACTCTGGACACCAGCCTGCCGCGCATTCGCGCGGTCTTCGGTCGTAGCAAGTTTATCTCGAGGGTCACTTCAAGGACATATTTCTTTCCCTAATATAAGCACCCCCACGTTTCCTCGTTCTCGTTGGCTTCAGAACAGCGTGCCAAACATCGACCTAGATCGCTTTGTGACTGCGTCTAGCATCACGCCCCGTGGTCACACTCTCGAACACTCGAAGGACGGATGTTGCAAGCGTGTCACGAACAATACGTAGGATTTCAGACCGGTGCGTTCTACAATTTGCAATTTCTGTCCCATGGATGAAGTCCAGGGGCACGCCATGCACGGAATTATTTTGATTGACGCGTCCTTGTCCCCCACGTGTGGTAAAGACGGCGAGCTACGTCCGGCTAGCGAAAGAAGCAATGGCAAGATACTCAGGCCCGACAGACTTCGAGGTGGCAAAGTGAGTGAGTTCAACGGCATCCTGAGCAAAAATCGTTTGGGTAAGTGTCATCGTGTGGCCAGCTTTGGAATGGCTAGGAAGTACGCGGCCGTCCGCGTCCGGGTTGCAACCAAGTTACACCATGTAGCGCCTTGCCAACGGCAGCCTCGCTGGCTTGTGTCGCTCGCAGTACGTCACCATCGCTGTATTTCTCTCCTTGCTTGTTTTCAGGGCTTGGACGATATTGGGATACCTGCACGCCTTCTCGGGAGACCTGGTGAGCAATGTTTTCCCAGACGAGTTGTTGGAAAATTGTGGCCTAACCGTGCGAAACGTGTTTCGTTGACGTTTGGGCGACGGACTGCACCTACGGTAGGGAATCTCTGTCGTACGCTGGAGTTTCACATGCAGAGCGAATCAGTCGTTAACAGCTGAACCAATGCTTCATGTGTGTTGACCTTCTGCCCACCTGCTTATCACCCAGGATGGGTTTTACGAGTATCTGGCACTCTCGGACAACTTCGTACATAACTCCGAACAGAGAGGAACACGAGATTTGCTCCCAGTGGTAAGAATCGCTGCAGGGTGGGACTTGTCAGAGGGAGGAACTCGGACTTTGACCACTTGGTTCATTGCTTGTCATCCTATCAGTCGACCGCTGTTGGCAGTTTTCTACACGTGACTCGGCCTTGCCTCTTCAATGAAGAGTGCCGAACCATAGGGAAGGTTCCCTTTTGTGTCTGAATACAACGTTTTGTCTTTTGGGAGTGGGTTTCAGCCGTGCATTCCCCAAGTACACCGATGAACAAGCGGTTCTCCTTCCAGGAAAATGCGGAAGAACCACACCTTTACCGGAGTCGGAGTCCCAACGTAGCCGCTACAGTGGTAGTTTTCGGCGCTGCCCAGACCACCCGGGCGGTCTTGCTACTGCGACCGGAATATCATACTTCTACAACGTCATATTGACGCAAACACGAGTACAACTATCATAGCACTAAACCAAACCTTCCCCTGGCAAGCGTATCCAATGTCTTGACACTTCTATGGTCCTGCTTCTATCTATCATCGCAAAATATCGCTCTGAATCTGACGACAATATTGTTGCTGATTTGAAAATCCTGCCAACGCCACGATAAAAATCATTTTCAAGCGTGCTTTAAAGGCACCAATGAAAAGCGAATTGGCCTCAATGCGGCTACTCATTCATGAAATGGACTATTGCAATCCCGACTACGGTTCTACGCTGTCCACGTCATTTTCCCAACAACGTAGTAATTTTTCAATGCAGCCTAACGCCAGGCATTTCCTTTGTTCACCGGACCACAGTAATCCACTTAGTCCAACACGGTATAGAGATTGTCTAGCCAATCGACAATTTCGTTGTCACCCATCTCGTCTATCACCCCTTCCGCCTCACGAAACACCGGCGATGTGTGCAGCTCATCGGGAGCAAGGTCGACCAAGCCAACCGTACCACTGCCGACGGGGCCATCAGTGTTGAAGCCCCCGCTCGACTCAAATCGAAGATGCGAAGGAGATCGCCCAGATCTGGCGAGCGGAATCTCTTCCTGCTCTTCTTTGGATTCCAAAGTGCAAACAGACGTCGCAAGACAGGCTTCGCTGCCGCACGAAGGAGCCGGGATCAATCCGACGGTTTCATTGGAAACCGTGCCGATCGATACGGTTTTAGACCGGATTTCCTCTCCGACATTCCGCACTACTCCTTCCCCGGAGTTCTTTCCTGGAGCCGTGCAGTCGTTGGTGCAGGTGGTCGGGGTCGCGAAAACGCTCAAGCCTTCACTCGCGATGAGGGCCTCAATCGTCCTGGCGCAAGGAACACTGACATTTGGTACTTGTAGAATAGTGTCATACCGGTATGAATGTTGATACGGAGGTCTTGTGCGCATGATGAGCTTATCCACTAGACCACCCAGTCAGCGGCTATACGGGCAAGGAGCACAAGTGGCACCTTCGAGTCCATTGGGTTCATCGATGTTATGTGACGAGCAGCCCCACACCAAGGACCTCTTCCACGTTAGCCGACCGATTGGCTGCCTCAGTTCGACGCGAGTTAACGCTACGAGGTGTTGCGTGCTTGCGGCACGAACCAAAAAAAGTTACTCCAGACTTCGATCCTGGTGAAAGCCTCCACGATCAGCTTGGTTCTTCCATATACACCTTCATCGGTTAAAATTACACAAGTTCACCGTCAGATTGGCACCTATCGACTGACATGATAGTTCCCACACACCTGCAAAGGAAGTCGTCGCAGATTGAGGGTATCCCCTGCCAGTCCTCTAAAGCTGGCACGGGCCGCAACTCAGGAGGGCGAGACACGTTATAGACCACCCGCAACCGGTCGTACAACCGCCGAGCTTGAGAGCCGTTGACGGCCGCAAGGGCTGCTAGCATAGCGTGTGCAATGTGGCACCTGATGGGTGACAGGGAGTGAAGGGAAAGGTGAAACCGCAGGAGATGCTACATGCTACCCTCAATTCAAACGAATGACGGCGGGGGGCTCGGTAGCACCACAAGTCATGCATTGCCAAGAGGAACACTACAATCAAGGGCAACCGTGGCCGACTACCAAATGAATGATACGCACTGTTTTCCATCGCACAACGGACAGATATGCGATGAAGTTTCACACGATTCGCCATCAGAGTATCAGCGTCAGCTGTACGTATCTATGCGCGTGCGCAATTGACTCACCACCTCATCGTACAGCGACACAGACCCGGATACCGCTCGAACACCTCGACACAGTGGCGTATTCTCTCCAGCGTTCCTTCTGCATCCCCTTTTGCTGCCCTCTCAAACACTAGAGTCCTGTCGGATGGTCAGCGCGGGATTGCGGGGTATATGGTAGCTTGTGACGACGTCGTGGTCGAGGTTTGATGGTACATGCCTCCATCAATCGAAACTCCGCATACAAAGGCGCCACAAACCGTATCGTGGGAAAATTCCAATGCACTACTGTGCCAAAGCTACGGTATTCTGCATGTAAGACGGAGATTTGTGATCTGACAGGTCACTCCGCTTACCCGTTGATGATAAGGCCACCGACGCCTGCTCGGATTCTTGGTCTGCACATCAACGCCGGCCACCAAATGGGCAAAATAGAAGAACGCCGAAAAGGGAGATGTGATTGTGTATCTGCGGGGTCTCCGCGTGAGGATGTCCGAAAGTAGAAAGAGCGATTGACCACGCAACCTAGATCCCGGAAGACGCAGGCAAACGGGTGACCATGGTCCCAGGTGGTGCCAATGTGGCGGAACACAGGTTTTTATCCATCGTGGGACATACACACCCGTCCAATAGACTTTATCGGCTCACCGATTGGCAGTCTCTTCCAACTGGTCAAACTCGATCACGTAGCCTCTCAGCCCAGTCGCCATGGCATCCAACACGTCATCCTCCAGGGGGCCACAGTCTTTAGCACTAACGCCTTCTCCACCCTCGGCGCGACACTGGTCGTCGCTCAAGCGTCGTCGAGAAGCACTCTTGGCGCAAGCTTTCGCGTAGGCGACTTGCTGGAATACCTTGAACGATTGGGTTACGTATCTGTACAGCTCCCCATCGTTCACAGCTTCGCATATCTAGACCAAAACAAGCACCAGGGGTGCACGCGCATGATCAGGTGCGGTCGAAGAGATTTACCATTGCCCTCGCATCAATGTAAAGCCTCAAGCCTACACAAAGCAAGCTATCACTGACCAGGCGTTCTCTCAAGCTGACGAGGTCATCCAAGCCCTGGCTTCTTCCAAAGCGAGACCGGTCACAAGTTACAAGGAGTTGCCACAAGAGCTGCTGAGCCGCGTTATCATCGTGCTGGCTGTTCTCCGATTCGATTCAAAGCAGTTGTAGGCCCTTTCCAAGATGTCCACATCTCGTACTGCAACCAGAAAGAGGCCAAGTTCCGCGCTACACGCTACCTTGAGGGTTAGAGAGGTAGAAAAAGTGATGAAAGGGTCACCCTACAGCCCTTTCTGGTGGTACAAAACAAAGCGGGAAGAACGCGTTGGCGCAGGTCACTCACGAAGAGAAAACCACAGCACGTCGCTCAGGCGTGTAGGCGCGTTTGTGTACATCGAGGGAACAAAAGTGAAAGGACGGGAATTAGGCAGCTCCCCCGCCGAGACCTGGTGGGTGCAGCCATGAGCTACGAGCATACTATGCCTTCCGGTTTCACTAGATGAGCTGTGAGGCTCGACTCAATCAAGCTTGGTAGAATACGCGCACACACCCGTGGAGCATCTCGATGTCGGGCACAAAATGACTCCATATCCGCCGGGTCCAGGTTGTCAGAGCACACCTTGACGGTGTCCTTGCGATGGACTATCTCGGCGAATCCCTGGTCAAGGGACGTGCGGGTGTACGACCGCTCGGGAGGTGCTCAAGAGTTCAACAAGCAGGAACAAGAATCCAAGCACGGCGTGAGGGGAGATATGGTTGCTCCAGTCCAAACTATGGTGGTTCTACGGTAGAAGACGGCAAAATTACAACGATCATATATACCCGCGACATCATTCTGGCAATGGCAAAAAGTCGGCATCATTGTGAGACACAACAAAATGGCAACCGTTGTGGGGGCTAGCAAAGCTGGCCAGGAAAATAAACAAATGTCTGAACACCAGAGAAATGGCAACAACAACGCTGGAAATTTTGACCATCAAGTGCTTTGACCCGTTCGTGTAAGCGCAAGTCTCATAGAACAGCTGCCGGGATTAACTCGTGCTCCCAAAAGAGTTGGCTGGAAACGGGCTGTGGTTTCACAAACGCTGTGTAGGACACTTTCGTTCCCAACCACAGCGACAATCACGCGTGTGCGCGTCAGTCAGACGTATTTTCCTGTCGCCACGTCGACCTCTGGCGAGTCACGTCAAGCAGCACTTGGTCAATGTTGTCATTCAAATCGTGTGCCCAAACCCATGGCGACGCCAGTACAGAGTCAGGCAATTGAGTGTTTTGCTTTTTGGTTTCCGCCGAGTACCGACGAAAATAACAAGTGGTTGTATTCGACCATCAATATTCGACCAGCACAGGCTCCTTCCCACCACCCGATAACGGCAACGAACCGCATGCTCCAAGCGAGTGACGTGACGAGGTGACTTTCGGCTGCTGTTGTTACCTAGCAACGTCCAGCCCGAACCAGCGTAGCCTTGCCCGCTGCTGCGAGTGAGGTACTGATCTAGCCTTTGATCAAGACCGAAAATGCGCTGCATCTTACACTCATAGCACAAACTCCGAGACACAACACAGCGGGAGAAAACACAGGGGAGGCCATTTTTGCAGTGGCTGGCTCGATCGGTGTTGCCGGGCCATCTATCCCACGGTGGTGTTGCTGGTGGTGCTAGTGGCGTGCAGAAACAATGTTGATCGATCTTCCTCAGAGGGATGGCGGTCGATGATTGCATATAACCGGTTTCCTGAGGCGCCTCTGTTAAGTTGACGTCTGTCATCGGTACCCGCCTTCACTCGTATTTGAAGTGAGTTCACACTCACGCACTCACCGCTGGCAGCGTATCAGCCGACCCTTCATTGATGGAAGCAGTTAAGAAGGAATCCGCAAATCCCAGGTATTCTTCAAACTTCGCCTGGAGCGCAGGCAGAAACACAAAAGAAGGGAGGCAACTGTCGTCAATTGATGTTGTTCAGAGCCAATGGACTATTCTCCATTTACAAACAAGAACAGTTGACTCAGAAAACCTGTAGCAGGGAGCACGCACGTTAGATAAAAATTGTTCAAAAAGAAAAACCCGTTTCGAAGGATTTGGTGCTTGTGTGAGGACTGATTTTTCCGTGACCCCTCCGTTTTCCTGAAGCTGACACGCCATTGAAGACCTTTGTAACCGCTACGTTTCCCACACCAACTGCAACTCGCAACGCTAGCAGCAGCAGACCCAAAAACTGTTGCTCTCTTCTCTGCATCTGCACGAAATTAATATGCCCTCGCTTCTTGTTTTGAAACGGGCACATGCAATGTCCTCACAATAGAGGTTCAGTTAGGGGCAGAAGGTCCCAGGATCATTGTGGTCGCGGCAAGGCGGTCGTGCCATCCAACAACGCTAGTCGCAGGAGCGCACCGAACAGTCTGCCTCAAAATATTTAGAAGTGAATCGTTAGTGAGATGTAAAAATAATCTCCAGATTTATTTACAGAAGACAAGCTGTTAGAACTTCGGCGCACAGGCCTGGGCGGAGGGAGGACCCAACACATCGCTTCAAGGTTGTGAAGTTGTCGCGGATAGCACAAAAATGGTTGAAGGAGGTCGGGGTCCAATTTACAGCGACAACGGTTGAGGAGCTGCCACCTTATCCTATTATAGGGGGAAAATGCAACGGGGGGCTACGTGCCATCGGACGTTTTCAGGCGGGGGGGGGAGGGAAGCCTCCTGTGCTGGCCGAAACACGCGTGTCGGCTCTACTGGCGAATGAGAGGAGATATTTGACGTATGCATGAGTCAGGCAAAAGTCGCATCAGTGCCGTACCCCTCATGGGAATCGAGCTCACCATGTCTCCCATGAAGCCGTACAGGTATCCCAGGATCGTCCATGCCCTGAGTCGACGTTACAGCGGGGAAAAGGGGATGATGGGTTTGTGCTGCAAGTGTCATGATGTTCATGATGTAGGTAAGGCATCGTGGCGATCTGACCAGGCCAACAAGGTGCTTTCGGTCGTCGGTGTGTAATCCCGCGCTTGGGCATCTAGAAATACAGGGTGTGCTGCTTTTCGTTACGACTCACTTTGCAACCTCGGGGTTCGCAGGGCCAGTGTAGGAATCCAGCGAGACTCTCGCCCATCGAAAGTAGCTCGCCACCTTGTGCATCGCACATTATGGGGAGGACGTGGTGTCTTCGTGAGTGACGTATGCATATCTCAACCGGATAGCTATGCAGCTCTAACTGGCGGCGAGGAGAAGTCATCAGCGGTGATGCCGCGTTGGGAGGGCAGCAGCACCGGCAGTGCGGGAGTGTCTATGCTTCTTGCGCAGATTAGGGTAGGCAAAACATATTACTTGTCCAAATCTCACCGATTCAAGAGGGTTGCCCTTGACAAGAGCCCCCAGAGCAACTGCACACCAAAATATGCAAGTGGAGGGGTCCATGGGAAGCTGAGTCCCTCCGAGGAAAGTGCCGATTCCGTCCCCCGTGCCAATGGCGTCAAGACGCCCAGGCGCGGGGGTTTCACACGGAGAGTGATGCCGCCGTGAGGCAGTGGCGCGGGTCATCATCGATACCATCGCCCCGCGGATGTGACTGGCAGCAACAACACATCGCACATACATTGCAAAGCGGACGGTTGACTGCAAGGTGCGAGATACACCACTTGCTCGACGAATCGACGTCATCCCCTCAGCATAGCTCGTCAAACTACTCGAACAAAACCAAGACGAGTGTCGGCGTTGGAAAGCACGCATGCCCTCTTGCGTAGACACCAGTACCTCTGGGTGGTGAGTGGCAGGAACCCAATGCAGCCGAAGAAGTGACTTAGAAAGCCATTCTCCTGCATTCCCACGAGACCCGTCGCCGGAGATGCACTTAATCTGAACCTGTTTCAGCAGAGTGTCACGTTGGAAAGAAGATCGAATTGCCTAAATGCTCACACCCAATATTACACACAAGACCTGAAGCAACTTTACCAAACGAAGAATATCCTCGATCAGTTCAATTCCGTTGGCTCAATTTTTTCCCCACGTCGAGCATGTACTTGTTGGCGTTGCCGGACGGTGCAGCTCATACCACAAAAGCGAACTTGAAGCACCGGATAATTCGTTCGATCGGTTTCGGGAAAATCCACCTGTCCTCTCTGGTCAGGGCGCACCAGTCGCTCGTCGAGCCCTCTGACTGATGCAGAACTTGAGTCTATTCGCTGTGAAGAGCGCAGAAGCCTACCTCTCCTCCTTCTGCCCTCAACAGGTGCCCAAGCCCACTGCTTGTACACTCTGTAGACTGCACCGATACCACCAAGTTTGCGTTGCCAACAGCGCCGGCAACGTTCAATACGAAGACGGACCTCTTCAGTGGTAGCATCCCGTCTGCGCTTGCATCGAATGACGTCTCCAGGAGCACTTGTGCGGGAGACACGCCAAAACGGGAGGCTAGCTGACGCGGATTCAGGTGCTGAGACTGGGGCAAAGGATGGGTGGGCTTCCGAATCGTATAAATACACGTCCGCTTCGCTTGTACACAGCGGCTACAACAGGAGGAGGGGGGGGGCAGGGAGGTCGTGTTTTGCACAGTCGGTCAGGCCAGTCAGGTATTACTAAGCGGGCACGGCATCTGTCGAGGAGTCACCAGCCGTTTTCGCTCTAATCGTTTCGTTTCGTGAATCGTCCCCGCCCTAGTATCAATCTTTGTCAGGTTGAGAGATGTTCCTGCAAGAAACCGACCCAAACGCCCGAAACTTTCATGTATCAAGCTTGTCTTTTCCTCTACAGTATGCATGCTCTGCATACCCAGATACCAATTCAAGATTCAACAGAACCATCGACACAGATGCGGCGGACTCGCTTCTCCGAAGATATGCTGCCCGCCATCAAGGTGGAGCGACAGACTAAATGCTCCACGCGGAAGCTGAAGATACCAACTAACGGATGGCTTTACATCGGCAAAGCGGTGCCGGCGGTGCATGCGCTACAACCATTTGTGGTCTCTCTGTAGCACATTAATTGGCCAAGAATTTTGTCAAGGGCCCAAAAGTTGCCCTTTCGAACGAATGTTGGCCCAAGACCCCTGATTTGGGTGCAGGCTCGCAAATCTTTGGCTGCAGGCTAATTTACCCTAGACTCTTATCCGTGGATAGAGTGGTGGATTCGCGGAGTTAATCATAAGAAAATAACCTCTTGGTGGACTAGTGGGTGCGGCGAGACTACGAAGGTCAGTCAACCGTATCGTTCATACCGCCATTAGGCCTGTGCTCCGTAGGTGATCACCGAAAATCACCGAATTTTGAAAAGGTCACCGAAAAAAGTGAGGTTTTGGAATCACCGAAAAAAAAGCGGCCGATCACCGAAAACGGGAGGTGCCTCACCGATTGTTGCCGGCGCCCACCAATTTTCACCGTTTTATTAGGGGGCTCCGTGTATACAGGCGATACCCCCTAAATCCCATCAGATACCCCCCCCTCAAGCGCAGCAGCACAGCAGCAGAGCACACAGCACACAGCGCACGTAACCCAAACTACAAGATACAACTCCCTGCGTGGCACGAGTTGGTGTTGGATATTATTCTTCTGGAGCCATCGTCAGCATTCATGGAACACGTTTTTTCCATCTTGCGGTGTTGCTTTAGTGAACTTCAAGAGTCGGTGTACAGCGACCGCATAATATATATGCGCTTTCGCACATTACTGAAGTACAATAGGGGAACGGGAAGTAGCAGAGGGCTGAGGCAAGGGAGTGAGGATGCCCCCGAGGATGGCGACGGTGACCTGTGATGGAGCTTCTTGGTTTATTGTCTACGTTGTGGGCGAGCCGGGCTCTGGCTGAAGTCTGTAGTAGTACTGTATGTAATGCGTAGTGCGTGCCTGTGTACCAGGTCTGCAGGTAGTCAGCAGTTGAATCTGACGTTATGAGTTGACGATGACATACACACGGTACAAAAATAACCACCAGAGTTCGTACAATAATTGACGTGGGGTTACTTACTACGATCCGAAACATCACCGGAAATCTCCGAAGAACGTTTTTCGGCAGAGCTCACCCCAATACTACTTCAAATTATCACCGAAAATCACCAAATCACCGGAAAAGTTTTTTTTGGTTCTCACCTTTTTTTTGTTTTGTCACCGATTTTCACCGAAAAACGTTTTCGTGCAGCTAGAATAATCACCGATTTTTTTTTTGGTAATCGGAAAAAATCACCGAAAAAAAAGAAAATCACCTACGGAGCACAGGCCTAACCGCCATGGAATTTGCACGTGGCACGCTCGTAAAGACCTCTAACGCACCCTGGCTTCACTGTGCCGACGCCACGGGTGCTGACAGCGGAGAAAACCGATCAAGGCATGGGAAAAAAAAAATGGTATTTGCCCTGGTTTCTGCAGCGTGCGCCATCAACGAAGAGCGCACATCTCCAACTTTCGAGCGGACAACCCGTTTCAACATATGATTCCTCGAGGCCAAACCTTAGATGGGATGAATGTATCCAAAGAGCAAAAAGAAAAAAATATCGCTGGTGACATACGGTTGTCTTCATGTTTGTTTGTTTTTTCCATCATTGGACTCTGTCGTCTGGCCCCCATCCTCCACTTCTACTAGCTAGACATACATACATACATGTGTTGAGGGGCGATTGCTCTATTTTCTGTTGCCGGAGGAACATTTTGCAACAGAGCTCCTCAGTCGTATGCGAGCTTCGACAGCAGCATCTCTTGATCCATTCACCCCACACACCTAATCTGCTTGTACAGATGTTTGGTCTTGGTCCGCTACACGCATCGAGTGTTGCCGTTGGACAGCGAAACTCTCTTCATTGTGTGCATACAACATCCATGGAACATGGAACATGATAGCTTCTCCGCCTACGGCAGGGGTGGTGGCCGGTGTGGTCAAATTTGTTACCCCCGATGGGCGCCTACCGCAGAAAAAAATCCACCCCTAGCGTTGAGGCTGTACAGGTGTGGGAGGGACGACGCCTTCTGCGACTACAGCAGCACGTCATGCTCAGTTTCATCACCCTGCCTGTGGTTTGTTAGTTCGGTGAACCAAAGTGGTCGTTAGTGTTGACTTGAAGACACAGCTTCAAGGAGAGGAGACGAACAACACGGACAACAAACACACCGCCGTGGATGTGGAGCGAAAATCTCGGGGACAAGCCAAGGATTTTGACCCAACATTCTGTGCCCATCATGATAAGGCGCACAACTTTGCTGTAGCAGTACTGCCCAGTGCTATAACTCTCTCTTGTTGATCAATGTCAGTAAAATTGGACCACATCCATTCTAAAATGTCACATCAACCATTACTAACCCTGAAGATCCAGGACCTTATCGAGGGACAACAACGTCACCATCTCTCTGTCCACAGCTTCGGTCACGTCTATGTTCGACAAGCCTCTATCTCTCTCTCTCACACGCGCCCTCTCTTTCTCTCTTCTATGTCTCTGTCGCGTTCGATCTCGCTACTACTACTGTACAGCAGTCCATACCGCAATGTTGATCATGCGACCACCAAAAGGTAGGCTCACCACAATTGATCGGTACACACACACCTGCAAGGAGCCAGGCCATCGCACTTCTTTTTCTTTCGCCCGCATTCACAACAGCTCCTGCGCATTTCCCTGAGCATGTTTTCCACCCCTCTCTGGGGTCTGGGCCAACTGGTACTTTCCGTTGTGCGGTCGTGTGGTCATTGCCCCTGTGGTCCCATGTGCAAATCAGCTCGTGCAAATGGCTCAATGAGCACACGTCACCTCGGTTCGCTCATTTGGTTCCGAATCCCCTCGGCGCTCAGTGCTCGTTGCTCGGTGCTCATTCATTATTTCTCCGCAAAAACCCCGCAATTTTTGGCGCACCGTCAGTGCACCAGTACAGCACGCTCAGCACGCAACACTCGAGGTGCTTTTCGAGCGTACTGAGAAAAAGGCCCACACACGCCGGAACTGGACGACTTACTTCTCTCCCGAAGTTTCGCAGTTCATCTGCAGCGGGGAGCCTTGCAGGCTGGCAAGGCTGGGGATCCTACATCACAAAAGCAGGACATGCCATTTTGTTCTGGGTCGCGACGCCGCTGATCTGCACTGCTGCCGTTGGGCTTCAACACGTCCCCCCAAGTCCCGTCTTCACCGTCTTCACCACACCTTCACCAAAGGACTTCACCACATTGTGTTCGAGTTCCACCTCATCGGGTCGTCCAACGGTGTCTGCTTCTTTGATAAGACATACGGTGAGATGTGATGGTGTGTTTTTCGTGTAGAGACAGGCTGACCTTTTCCCAAGGTTGGTTGCAGCTGCCACACATGGTTGCTTGCATACCTCTTCACACCATTGCAGAGCAGGACCTCCTCCATCCAGCTCCAGTAGGATCGGAACGCAGTGGTTGACATGTCGGAATGCCATTCGCGGAACATGCCTTGGTAGGTGCAGGTCGTGCAACAGCAACCTCGCTTTTTACCATTCAACCTTTAGCCTTGCACAACAACTTAATTGTACCAGCTTTTTACGGCTCTTGCGCTGCGGCGTGCCGCGGCCTAGGCTTCCCAATGTAGAAGTAGGAGTTAGCTTGGGGTGGGGTTGTTTGGGTTGGGGTTAGGGATAGGGCTGTATCCTTGGTGGAACGGTCCAAAACAAATGTACTTCCTCCTCCGCCCCACCTACAGGCAACACCTTGGAGGTGCCTCGGGATACTGCTGTAGACTACATGCTGATACTGTGTACAGGTTGAACACAGGAGTTCCCCGTCAACCATTGCGTTCGACCAAGTCGTAAGCACCCTTCGTGGATCCGTTGGCGATGCCCATCTTCCTCTCGTTTCCTCATCTCCTCATGTAGACTAGTGTTGGAGGACATTGCTGTACGGTGTAGGGACCTGTGCGTCCAAGCAGTATCAACCAGAAATGCGGTAGGTACGTGTGGTAACCTTGTCTTGGCACAGACAACCGTTACACCCGCCACTTGCGGGAGGACAGTTGTATTAGATATATTGGGGGTACTCGTAGCATAGTATGACGGGATATCTTTGGTACACATACCTACGGAAGTTGTAGTGATGGGGTACGAAGGGTCCAGAACTTTCTGGACATTTTCCTTGGAAGTGAGAAGAGTTTGATGGAGATTCGGATAGGTCTGTTTGGTACTTTAACCGTGATGAGCGTGACGCGTGCTTGATGCCGTGACAGATTTACGAGCGCAAGCACGCCCCCGAAGAATACAACGATACTTTTGCATTACGTTTTCAACACGTTTCCTACCCATCCACGCTCCGCCATGAGCCACCCGCTTTGAGCTCCAACCACAAAGAACCGAGCCACCCGAATTATCGATCACGCTAGCGTATGACACGTCGTCTACGAGATTCGCGGTCGAGCTTGGTTTAGGAGCATCGCTTTGCGGCGATCGAGAGCAGGGTCAAGATGCCTACCTCCACGCGCGAAGATGAAGCCCGCCAAGCAGCGGAGGCCCGCCAAGCAGCGGAGGAAGCCAGGATCGAAGAACTGGTCAACGAGAGAGTAGCAGCTCGGATGGAGCAGATGATGGAGGAGAAACTGGCCAAGAAGATGGCCGAGATGGAGGTACGGCATCGAGCCGAGCAGCAGAGGACACAAGATCTCCGGAGCGGGAACGAGGAACAAGGGGTACCACACCAGCAAGAAACTGGGGGCCCGACGCCCAACCCTTCCGCAGACGAGCTGGCCAACGCGATTGCAACTGCCATGGCCGGTCGCCTCCAGACTTCATCAGGGGATATCGGTGCAGTGCCTCACCCTGCAACCCTCCGTATGACTGAGAGTAGACGAATAGAGTCTTGGGATGGTGTGTTCAAGTCGGGGGACAGTAGGCAGCAGAAGCTTTTGATTTTCAGATCGAGCATGGTAGCACGGTTTGCACAGGAGGATGTCCACGAAGTAGTGATGGGCCACCAGGACATCCCAGTAGGGAAGCAAGGAATCAGCATGGTAGACCTGATGACTGAGTATGGCGAGCAGAAGGTAGCTAAGGCTGTAGTGGCGTGGAATTTACTCATCACGTCAATCTCATACATGCCGATCTTGTCGGAAATCGTCTCAGACGGAAGCCCGAGTGGGGGATGGAGGATTTTCCTCAAGTATTACGAGCCCCAAGCGAAAGCCGAGAAAAAGAGACTCTTGAAGGAGTACCATTAGCTTCGCGATGCATGAGAGTGAAAACCTACAAGAATACTTCGGAAGGTTCTCTATTTTGCGGAGTAGGCTAGCGTCGCACGGGACAGTGTATCCCGACAACGAAGCCAACGACCACTTGGTGTCCGCCCTGTCATCCGACTACAAATTAGAGAAGAAACTGTTGGACCGCACCCCTGATTTGACTTTAGAGCAGATAGAGGATTCCGTGAAGGAGGCCCACACGGACCTGGTGCGCGCACGGGAGGAGGAACAAAAGAGTGGCGTGGGGCACGCCTTCGTCGCTTCCGGTGCGCCCCGGGGCGACGGACGTGTCCAAAATGGGTCGAGTGGGAACGGCGGTGGACAGGACGGCAAAGGCGACGGTCGGAACAGGAGCGACGAGACCAGAGGAGAACGGCACTGTCGCTTTCATCCGTATGGAACCCACACCAACGCGGAGTGCTATCAACAGCAGCGGAAGAAAGAGCGAAGACAGCAGCAGTCATCGCAACAGCAGCATCAGCAGCGGCAGCAGCAGTCATCGCAACAACAGCAACAGCCGCCGCAGCAGCAACAACAGCCGCAGCAGCCTCAGCAACAGCCGCAGCAGCCTCAGCAACAGCAGTACTACCATCCTCGTCCTCAACAGCAGCAGCGACAGCAACAAGGCGGCCGCGGTGGGGGGGGCTGGGGTGGTGGACCCCAGCACGGACCCCACGGCGGACGCGGAGCGCAGCAAAGGTATGGAAACTCAGCCCCCCCTCGCCCGCAGCAGCAGCAATGGCGACCCCCGCACGGGCATGCAAACGTGATGCACCATGATTACGGTGCCACGCCCTACGGGGGGCCCGCAAATAGTAGCGAGTATGGGGGTTGGGAGCAGCCGCAGCCACAATACCAGCAGCCTCCGCCGGACTACACCCAGCAACAGCAGCCGTACAACCCGCCTCCGGCACCATACTATCAGCAGCAGCCACCACCACAGCCACCGCCGCAGCCTCCGCCTCCACCGACGTTCCAGCAGCAGCCGTCGCAACAGCAGCAGCACTCGACCCATGCCCCGCCCTACTCATCTCCTCCCGGAGCAGCAGCACCGGCCCCGGGCTCCCTTCACTTCTTGATGGCACGTTTCGTGTCTGCAGGCGAGATCGTTCCGAGTGGTGTTGTAGCGAGTACCGAGCGTGAGAGTGGTAGTGGATTTGCCTTGGCTGCACGAAACCCGAATTCGCATTTTGGCAGAGAGCAATTTTGGGCCGACAGCGGCGCGACCAACACGTTTGTTAGCAGCAGCCATCAAATGTTCGACTTGAGGCCAGTGCCGCCCGGTAAGGGGTACATCCAAGTAGGTAACGGTGCCTATTTGCGCGTGCATTGTGTTGGGAAGGTAAACATGGCTTTCCACATGCAAGACCAGGGAGGAGAGCGTGATTTTTGCGTGCAAATGTCGGACGTGTACGTTGTGCCTGGAATCACCTTCAATTTGTTTTCGTTGCACCACACGCAGCGTAAGCAACGGATCGTTCTAGACGAGACCGGCGTCCACCTATTTGATGGTAGGCTTTCCTTTGCATACTCTGATGTAGGATGCTCGCTTTGGGCTACTCGATTGCCCCAGGATTACAGTGGTCGTGCTGTGACCTCTAGCCCCGATGCCCCTCCCCGTGTTTCTGCCCAAGCGTCCCCGCCTAGCATTGGCACAGGATTTGTTGCGGCCGCCCCCTCCCTTTTCCAGAGTGCAGGAGCGGGCACGAGTTCGAGTGCGAGTGCGAGTACCGGCTTCCAGTCCGTCGCTGCGGCCGGCGTTGTACCTGCGAGTACCGGCTTCCAGTCCGTCGCAACGGCCGGCGTTGTACCTTCGACTCCTGGCGTCCAGCCCACCGGATCCGACGGTGTAGTACCTTCGAGTCCCAGCGTCCCCTCCACCGCTTCCGGTGTAGTGCCACCGCATTGTGCTTTTCAGTCCGTTGACGTAGACGTAGTCCCCACGACGATCCACGACTTTCAGCCTGTCATCACGGCCGCTGTAGAATCGTCCGAGCTTGTGACTCCCCCTGCAGTAGGCACGACTGATTTTCGCGAGATCGATATCAACCCCCTTGTATCCAAGGATGACTTACCGATCATGGACATGAGCATGTTTCTGGATGTTGGATTGATGGATGCGAAAGACTCTGTTCCCCCTGGTGATTTTTTTCCGGATGCGCTGGAATTCCCCGAGTCTGCGGTGAACCCCCCCCTTGCATTTGCTATGCAGCATGAGGAGTTGGACGTGTTGAGAGGTTATCTTACAGAATGCAGTGAGCAGCAGATCGTAGCCCCCCCCTCCCTCTCGCATGCCTTGGCGATTATCGCCCCCGGTGCTTCCCCGTTTTCGGTAGGAAAATCCACGTCCACCATCGACATTAATTGGTTCCATGCCTCCACCGGCCATGTCAATGAATTCCTGATGCGTGAAACGGCAAAGCAGCAGGGCGTACGATTGGTGGGGGAGATGCAGCCGTGTGTGGGCTGTGTGGAAGCCAAGGGTAGGCGTGCCCCGGTGCCGCGGCGTGGCACCCGCGCGGCGGTACCGTTCGGCAAAGTTCACATCGATCTCACGGGCCCGTTCTCTGACGCCCTGGACGGCTCCCGGTACCTGATCATGTTCGTGGACAGCGCCTCGCGGTGGCAACGGGGTTACGGGATGCGGGCCAAGAGCGACACCCTGAAGTTCGTGCAGCGGTTCCTCGCCGACATGAACGGCATGGGTACCCCGGGGTGTTTCCGCATGGACAACGGCGGCGAGTTCACCGGCGCCGCGTTCACCACGTTCTGCGACGCTGCTGGCATCCGGCGCGAGTACACCGCCCCCGACACCCCCAAGCAAAACGCGGTGGTCGAGAGCGCCATCTGGCGCGCCATGAAGGGGGGCCACGCCGCGCGACGTCACATCCTCGCCCTGGGACACACCGACCTCTCCTCCATCCCCCACGTCGGCGCCAACGGACACCGCCTGTGGCTTGCGTCGGCGCTGTGGGCCTCCGCCTGCTTCAACCGCTCCGCGACAAAGGCCAACGTGGGCTGGAAGTCGCCGTTCGAAGTCTTCTTCGGCCGGAAGCCGCCCCTGACCGTCGTCCCTTTTTTCCAGGACGGTATGATGCGCGTGAAGCGGGCCACCAAGGCGGACGTCCAATCCGCGCGGTGCTTCTACCTGCACGGCGCCAACAACCACTCCACGTCTACCGCCGTCGTTCTTCGCGCTGACACCGGTCGCCTCGCCCTCACCAACAACGTCGTGTGGGTCAACCGCCGGGCGGGAGCACCGGCGCCGGTGCCGGGCATCGGGGGGGGGGTCTTCGGTCACCGCGGCGCCTTCTCCGGCCACCGCCGCACCTCCGGCCGATGCCGCACCGCCGCCGCCCCCGCCAACAAGGACATACACGTTCACCCCGCCTGCACCAGCGACCACTGCACTGCCGCCGCCCGCTTCCCCGCCGATGTTGACAGCATCCTCAGCCCCGTCGCCGGTCTCCGTCGCCCCATCGTCAGCCCCACCGTCGACAACAGCCACGCCGCCCCGTTCGCCCCCGGGCCTGCCGCCGCCGCCGCCGCAGCCCGCCAGCGCCGCCGCCCCAGCTCCTCCGCACCCGCCGCTTTCGAAACGAGCCGTCAAGGAGTTGGGACGGGAGGACACGAGAGTTCACGGCCGCACGCGCGGCGATGGAGTGCGGTTCATGGATGAGCAACAACAACCGCCGTCGCCACCAGGTGGCGGCACCGCTCTCCACCACCGCCTTGGGCTGTTGGACATGATGGACAAGGCCACCCTCATCTCGTCGCTCGCCACCCGGGAGGCCGTAGACCAAGGACGCCGCGACCTACCGCCCCCGCCGCAGCCGGATCCGAGTCTTGGAGGCCGTGGAAGCGGGGGGGCTGTGGGAGATGGGGGGACCGTGGATTCCGGGGGGGGGGGGAGACCGCAGATGTTCGCAACGATGTTCGCCACCCGCGAGGATGTGGACGCCGCTCTTCGCGCCGAGCGTCCTCCTGACAAGATGCCTGACCTTCCGCACTGCATGGCCAGCGACCTCCGCGAGCCGAAGACGTTCATCGAGGCAATGCGGTCCCCGCACTCAGAGTTGTGGGATGATGCAGTCGGTCGAGAGTTTTTCGGTTTGTTGGATGCAGGAACTTTTAGTCCGGTGTAGCAACCAGTAGAGAACGCCATCAATGCTAAGTGGGTATTCAACTGTAAGGCAGACGAGTATGGATGGCCGACGAAATTCAAGGCAAGACTTGTAGCGCGGGGGGACATGCAGAGGGCTTCGATTAATTTTGGAGAATTGTTTGCACCCACCGTATCAGTGTCTAGTGTGCGCTTGTTGGCAGCATTAGCATGTGAGCAGAATCTTGACTTGTGCCATTTTGATATTCAGCAGGCTTTTGTGCAGTCTGAGCTTGATGAGGATGTTTTCATGCGCTTACCGCAGGGGTGTGGTAGGTTATCTGGCCTGATCGTGAAGCTGTGCAAGAGTCTGTATGGTTTGAAGCAGGCATCACGACATTGGCATGCGCACCTGACGAGGTGTTTGTTACTTTTAGGTTTTTTGCAGTGTCTGGCGGATGCATGTGTTTTTCGATTGATGGAGGAGGGACGTGTGATCATGATCATCGTGGTCCACGTGGATGACATTTTTGCTGTAGGGCAGAAGGAGAGGTGTGACAAGTTTGGCAGGGATCTCAACGAGATGGTCCCCGTGAAGAACCTTGGAGAGTTGAGGTGGTACTCCGCGTGCTTTTACGAGAGAGACGTAGAGAGAGGGTTGTTGAAGATTTCGCAGCAGAGGTTTGCCGAAGAGTTGGCTGCAGAGTACGGCATTGAGTGGGGGAGGAGTGTGCCCTTGCCCGTGAGCGTGAAGCTTACCGACTTTGACGAGAACGAAGCGTGCGCTGATGTCCCTTTTCGCGAGTTGGTAGGATCTCTGATGTGGTTGGCCACCCAAACAAGGCCGGACATCGCGAACGCGGTACGGGCAGTAGCGCGGTATTGTGCATCTCCCAAAATGGTGCACTGGAAGGCAGCACTCGGTATTTTAGGATACGTAAGGAGGACGAGTTGGATGGGGATTACATTTGAGAGGGGAGTAGTGACAGGGATGAGCATGCAGGTGTTTGTGGATGCCGACTATGCAAGCAAGGCGACAGACCGTAGATCGGTGTCCGGGGGGCTAGTGATGTGTGGGGGTGGGTGTGTAACTTGGTTTTCGAGGACGCAGAAGTGCGTTACGCTTTCCACCACGGAAGCAGAGTATGTGGCAATTGCTGACGTCTTGAAGGAAGTATTGTTCTTGAGGCAGGTGTGGCGTTTTATGTTGCCAGGTGCGGGTATGCCGTGCATCCCGGTGTTCGAGGATAATCAGGGAGCGATCCAGATTGTGCACAACCCAATCACGAACTCCAACTCGAAGCACATCGATGTACGGCATCACTTTATCAGGGAGCTGGTAGAGAGGAAAGAGATTTCAATTACTCATGTGCCGACGCAATTTCAGCATGCAGATTTCTTGACTAAGGCTATTAGCAAGGAGTCTTTTGCGCTGCACCGTGACTTTGTGATGAACTTGCAGTAAAGAGGGTGTTTTGGGGTCGATTCGTATTCTGTATGGAAAGAGAAAGAGAGAGATGAGATCGAACAAGAGAAAGAGAGAGTCTGGTGAAGGTGGTAAGAGTTTCGGTTGTGTTGGGATTTTTCTTGTTTGTTTTGTAAGAGTTTTGGTAGCGTTTTTTTTTCTTGTGATTGTCTTGGAGTATATTTTGTTTTGTTTTGGAGATGGTGGTACAGAAGAGGATTGGTATTTGCCGTAGCATGACGATGCATACGAGCAGGGGGGCTATTAGATATATTGGGGGTACTCGTAGCATAGTATGACGGGATATCTTTGGTACACATACCTACGGAAATTGCAGTGATGGGGTACGAAGGGTCCAGAACTTTCTGGACATTTTCCTTGGAAGTGAGAAGAGTTTGATGGAGATTCGGATAGGTCTGTTTGGTACTTTAACCGTGATGAGCGTGACGCGTGCTTGATGCCGTGACAGATTTACGAGCGCAAGCACGCCCCCGAAGAATACAACAATACTTTTGCATTACGTTTTCAACACGTTTCCTACCCATCCACGCTCCGCCATGAGCCACCCGCTTTGAGCTCCAACCACAAAGAACCGAGCCACCCGAATTATCGATCAAGTTGTACTACTTGCATGTACCGTCCTTGCAAAGTCGTGAGAGAGCCCTACCTTGCCCTTACCAAGAGCAAACCACAACCCTTTACCCACACCCGCAGGAATACGGGACACGGAGTAAAGACTGTGACCATGAATTCCATTTACGCGAAAGAGGGGAGCATTGTTACAAACAACCTTGGGATGCGAAAGAGCTGCTGTGAATGTGGGCGAAAGAAAAGGAAGTGCTATGGCCTGTACCTTGCAGGTAGGTACGGAATATGTGATATGTCGACATGAACCTTCGCCATGATGTTACTGTTGGAAGTGATGATGCTCCTTTTCGTCTGATTGGGATTTGCATGTTTGGTGGAAGTGTCGACACGTATCTCGGGTTTGCTAGATACCAATCGCAAGAATGGCACAAGTAATTCCCTATTGAAGGATTCTATAGCAATGATGCTCTCGCTAGAGGTGGCGCCGCCCCACCGTTTGTGCTCGTTCTACTGTATCAACGAATATCAAGGAGAGAAACAGAGATTCAAGAAAGACGGTCTAATCGACTTTGACACAACCGTGAGCTCACGACTCGGCTGAACGTGGTGGTCTCCATGTCGGAACACGATTTCTCGGAACATTCGTCCCGGGGTAGGTGCAGCTCGTGGAGCCTAGCATTTACCCCTCTCGCTCCGCAGTATAAGGCTAGCACGCACAGCAACTTAGCGTCTCACCTATCTGTCCCACGCCGTGGCTTAAGCTAACTGTACCTGTACAGCAAACTAGGTCTTCGCCATTTTTGCGCCGCCGCAGAGGCTCGCGTTTTGCGACCTAAACCACTTCTTGCGCCGCGGCTACGCTTACACGTGCAGGTGACCTAGCTCTTACCGATATGAAGGGTTTGGGTCGGGTTTGTTTGGGGTTAGGGATAGGGCTAGGGCTATAGGTTTTGAACGGTTCAAGCAAAATCTACAACATCCCAGGTTCGAACCAGAATTTTTTAGTTTCGAAATGATGCGTTATTTCCGTCGGGGCAAATGTCCGCCACCGCCGCCCCACCTGGCCTCCTTAGAGTTTCCTCGAGACACTGCATATACTGGCGCTCTACAAGTTGTATCCAGTTCCTTCAACCGTTGCTTTCGACCAAGTAGTAAGCACCCCGGTATTAAATACAACCGAAAGATCGCCTCCATAGCAATCACGCAGAGATACATCACTACCGTTGGGCAGCTCAATCTTCGGGCATGACTAATTCCATTTGCAGTCGGGCTGAGCAGCGGGTGGGGTTTGTCTCCATCCGTATCACGCAGTCCATCTCTGCACACACCTTCTCAAAGCACGGCCAAAATGCCGCAATCCAACATTGAAGACGAAAGGTCCAAACGGTAGGTGCTGGAAGGTCGTTCTCGATACGTTGGCCCCTTACTTCATGCAGTCGATGCCGAGGAGCTGGGGTCCAATGCACGTACAGCAAGCGGAAGCCGCACCAGCGTCAGCCTGGGCACCAGCACCAGGGCCGTCCACGTGGTCCTGCTGGCATGCAGTCAACGGAGTTGCTGCACCACTCTTCATCAGGCGCACTCCTGGCCTGCGGCATGCTGCCTTTGAGGTGAGCCGTCGTCTGCGCTCCTGTAGGTTGTTTCGATTCCAATCGATTTTTTTCGAAGGCCATCTTCGGCTTGAGTCACAGGATCCCATTCCCTCTCCCGTTAGACCGGTTTTCATGCGAAGCTCACATTAGTATTGTGCCGAAATGGTTGGTACAGGAAAGAGGAGAACGACGCCTAGCTGAAAAATGCTACCCATTGGTGTATGCCACACTAGAGCGAGCTTCACCCTCGAGCAGCACCTCCAAGCACTACATGAATGACGTGGGAAGTGTACCGGAGCCGCAGGTATGAGCTAAAAGACGATGAAGGGCATTCTAGAATTTGAAGAGAACCTCCAAGTCTTGCGTGTCGTATCGGGAGAGAGCTGTTTGAACGATCTCATCACGTCGAAACGCGCGTTTACTGTACCAGGTTCAGGTGGAGTGCATCTCCGGCGACCGGACTTGTGGGCATGCAGGAGAACGCATGCCTCAGTGACTTCTTCGGCTGCATAGGATTTATGCCGCTCACCACCCGAAGGTGCAGTTAAACTGTGGCGGTGTACTCAGCACGGCGCACCTCCGCCAAGATGATCACGTTATGTAGCGTGAGTCATCAGACCAATATTTTTTATTTATTTTTTTGTCTTCACTTCAAATCGGCGCTCACAGCACTAGTGCCGTTTACTCCAACCAGTGGTCACACAGAAGAGCCCCTCTCTGTCCTCCCCTCCTGCGGTACTTTGCCTTCGATTTTTGATGCGAGAAGAGTTCAGCACTCTCTTCCCTCTGTGTATACACGAACTAATGCTATCCACTAGGCCAGGAACGGAAGCGAGAGAAAAACTCACTTTGCAAGAAAAGCTCGCTTGCGCCGGGGTTCGAACCCCTGACCTGACCTCTAGAAGGTTTCGAGGATACCAACTAGACCACCGGGGCGACCGGCTATGGAAGGCATGGATTCGTCCGAGCGATGGGCGCTCGGACAATAGGGACCCTTAAGTGGATCGACCAATTCAAGATTCTTGTGCTATTGACTGTTGCTGCCAGCCACATCCGCGGAGCGATGGTGAGGATGATGACCAGCTCCACTCCCCATCATCAGCCGGGCGCTCCGCACGACTCCCCCGCGCAAGGTCAGTTCGGCTCCATCTTCACCGAGGATGGCATCACCCCTGGAAATCAGCTTTCGACGGGACCCTCCGCTTGCACATTTTGGTGTGCCGTTGGTCTGGGGGCTCTTGTGAAGGGCAGCCCTGTTGAATCGGTGAGGAGAAGATGACGTGTTTCTCGCTCACCCGATATGAGGAATAGAACCGTTGTTCCACGTTGAATTGCAGCTACCAACCGACGCAATTTCGAACTACAGTAGGAGGCCCGATATAGCGGCAACCTCAAAAGCGGAATTGCCGATACGGCGACATTAATATCTCGTTTGTCACAACCTTAACCCGATATGGCGGCATTTTGCCGTTGAGGACAAAGCCCGTTATAGCGGTTCTTTGGGGTATCTACCACCCCCAGTAGCGTCAACTCCAACCGTCGGAGCCCCTATAACTCAACACCAAAGCGCACACGCACACCGCACACCACCGTTGGCTCCACACGCATATATCATGCCAGCGTGTAAAACTGTGTAAACTTCCAAACCTCCCACAACTGGGGGATAATCAGAGCGATTACTCAATCATGGTTGAAAACAGCTTGGCGGTAGGTGTTCATGTGTCGTGGGGGGTCATGGTCGGCGTTTACAGTGCACTGCTGTCAACGTCTTTGCATCTTGTGGTGAGTTTACTGGTGTGCGGTACTTCTCTATGGGATTTTTCTTCGAGTCTCCCTACACACTGAAGTAGGCTGTGGGAAGGGACGGTCGGGTCGTCACTTCGAGCTGGTAATATTTTAATGTGATGTGCGAAGATCGGAGCGTGTTTCATGTGGATACACAACTGCTGTGTACAGATACATCTCTGACACACGCTGGAACGTGTTTAGCGAGTAGACTCTACTCCTCTCACGTCATTGGTGCGCACATCAAAACCGTTTCTCCGCTATGGTGGCAATATTGCCGACATTGACCCCCCTCAGTGGTGGTAGCAGCAGCACTGCCCTGAACAGTGGCATATGGTTGGCTTGCCCCTACATGCCGCTATATCGGGCCACCTCCTGTACTACTGGTACAGAATAGTGTGCCAGTCAATACATCGCCCACACATTAACACCTCCCCAACGTGTCACAAAAGGTCGTGAACTACTCCCGACTGGCGAGAGATGCGCTGGACGCCTACACTGGTCCTGTGGATGCTGAGGTGGCAAAGTGAGTTACAACGAAAAACTGCAACACGAGCACACGCTGTACCGTGACCCATGCCTAATCTTGTCGACTGCATCAGGTGGCCGAATCTGTCACGGATGTTGGTGCACGCTATTGTATGTTTGCTCTTCGGCCAAGTGCATCATTTCACAAACATGACCGTATCAATCTTAGTTGTACGGCCAGGTGATGAAGGCTTAGTGCTGTATGCCATACACGATTGATTCCACACACACTAGTGTTGGATATCGAAGCGCTGCGCGCTTCGATACGATATCGAACGCGAAGCGTTCGATACGATAAATATCGCTTGGGTATACGCGAGCGAAGCGAGCCCGGCGAGCACAGCGAGCGGAGGCGCGAAGGCGCTCGAAGCTCGCTGTGCGAGCCACCTAGGCCCCCCCCGGCTGGCGAGGGGGCCCCGCTGGAGGCGCCGCCGGAGGCCCGAAAATTGGGGCGTTTTCGCTTCATTTCCCATCAATAATGACGTAAATTGGGCCACTACTCTAGGCCACCGTTGACCCATCTTTTCTTTTGAAAATAGTGAAAGCAGAGTTTTTGGTTGAAGCAGAATGCTGCATCTAGAGAAATGCAAATGTTGGTTTTCTTGGAGCGTTTCATTGCCAACCTGTGCCCCGAAAAACAACTACTCTGTACCTGGCGCTACGTGGCTTCCGAGCTGCTGCCAACTAAACACTAAAAACGAAAACCTACGACCAGCTGCGGTTCTACGAGCAGCTCTAGTCTACTGCACGGCACACGGCCGACGGCAAACTTCCCACAAAACCACACTATAGCAACTGGTCAAAGGACCCTGAATCCTCTTCTACCCGACGGAGAGCCTGCTGCGAAATCCCGCTGGACCACGTTAACCCGTGCGAACCGTTCAGGAAAACAAGCGCATCGACCGTGTCATCCCCAAGGCGGTTGCGTTTTTTCGTGACGATGGTGCCGGCCATGGAGAAGACGCGTTCAGACGCCGCCGATGACGGAGGAATCACCAAGTACTTGACTGCCAGCCTACCAGAGATGGGAACGAGAATTGGTGTCGGCACCACCAACTCAGCTCATCCTTTGAGGTCTGCTCGTGCTCGGGATCAAGGCCTTGCTCAACAACAAAGCGCCGAAGCTCCAGCTCTGCAGACTGCACTCTTGCTTCAAGTGAGAGCCTCGAAGGGGAACGCGCGGCGCTGGTTTGCTGCGCCTGTCCGGCGCCGCCTGATCCACCAGGGCCCTTGCCCCTCGATGCCATGACGGCCATCGTTCGAAAGCTGAGGCGCTGCTTCTTCGCCGGCGGCTCATCGCCGGAAAGGTCGACGGACCCGCCGCCCGCACCACCGCCCGCACCACCGCCCGCACCACCGCCCGCACCGCCATTATCAGCCGACGAGCTGTCGGCCGCTTTCTCGGCATCGATGTCCTGGGTGAACAGGACTTTGAGCTCCTCCACGAGAAGATCGCGCCACTGCTTCTGCTCCGCGTCCGATAGCCACTCGAGATCTTTCGTGCTGGCACTGAGCGCGGACGCCATCTTCATCACCGCGGGGACATTTTCCCAGCGATCTTCGTGGTCGACGAGCATCGCTTTGCCAGCCACGCGGAACGGGCCTTGGGTGAACGCCGCCGACTCCTTCTGGATGTGGTTGTTCAAGACGTTCATGATGCAGGGGACCTCCGCCAGGCCAAGGTAGTCACCCTCCATGGTCTCCACCGCCGACGCGAAAGGCTCCAACATCCTCACCATCGACGCCGCGTTTGTCCAGTCCACGTCCTGGAGGACGATGTCCACCTTGGAGCGTTCGTTGGCGAGCTCGACGGTGTAAAGAACGCTGCTCTTGTGCTCCAGGGACACAGTGAGCATCGACAGCCACGACCACCACCGCGTGACACAGCCTGTAGGGATCCTCGCAGGTTTTTTGGTGGGAAACCTCAACTGAATGCATACGGGGATCAGGGGGGAGAAACACAGGAGGGGGCGGGGATCGATGAGAACCCAACAGCACGACAAGCAAACGTTTGCCTCTTTACTCTGCACATGCGTGCGCGGCTAGCGGCAAGACTGCAGTGGTGCAGTGACGATGTGATGGTGTCAACAGCGTGCGAAAAATAGAAATGTAAATACAAGCGTAATTGCTCACCTTCTGCGCCTCAAAGAACGCTCCCAGCGACAGCGCAGACTTGTGCAGGTGCCCGGCAACCTTGGTGAACCTTTTGAGGGTCTCCTTCAGGCCGGGAGTGTTGACGAACTTCTGCACCGTGAGCTCAGTCTTGTGGCATCCACATCCAAGCCACTGAATCTGCGGCGCCATGTGGACAATGACGCCGTTCTTCATGTTCGCAGCCGTGTCGGTCGTCATGCTGATCACTTGGTTCTCGATCCCAAGAGCCTTCAGCATACTCGTGAGCTTCGCCCCGATGGGCACACCGGTGTGGGATCCTTCGAAGATCTCGCAGCCTGCGGTGCCGCACTTGACGGTCCACTCGCTGCGGGACGTCTCTATCCAGTGAAGAGTCAGAGAGATGAAGGACACCTGGGTGATTTGGCGAAATATGGCAGAACAAGAAACAATACGCACACGAAAATGCACGCATCAAAACAACGTCCCTAACTAGGCAACGTACCTCAAATGCCACCCGAGCGTTCTCGTAGATCGTGAGTGTTCTACTGCTATTTGTCATCAACTGCTGTTTGATGTTTATTATATCGCAGGAAGCAGAAGAGTTATACTTACGTTGGTGTTGGATGTCCAAATGTCGCTAGTCGCCGCTAGGCTTTTCCCCACCAGCATGCGCTTGAGGTTCTCCACGGCGACTCTCTTCTTGTTCATCAACTCCGTCCGAAACTTCTTTCGGCCGCCAGCGTCGAAGGTAGCGCTGCCAGTCGCTGTCTGCAGCACCTTCTCAAGCGCTGGATGGTCCACAACCGAAAGCGGCTGGTTGTCGAGGATCACCCAATCGAGGAGGTCCGAGGCGACCGCTTCGGTGCGGGATAGCCTGACCGTAGGAAGGTTGTTTTTCCAAAGAGCTTTGTTGGCATTTATTGTATTTATGTATGATGTGTGATGTGTGACAAAATACAAAATACACAAGTCTAATTAGCGGTAGACCACATCCTCCGTACTTTGTGAACATTGAACGCTCTACAATACACGCTTCAACACGCAGCCTGCTGTAGCTGCTATACGGTGCCACTAATGAAACTTAGACTAATTTGAAAAGAACAGCGTACATCGTATGGCA